TGCTGGACGTGTGGTAGGATTGTTTTTGGTGGTGTTGTTACTAATTTGGAGGCATTTGGGTTTTATTTGGAATTCTCTCTCTGTGCTTTTATTTAGACATCCATTAAACCTTTAGTTTAGGCAACTCTGCTTGGCGATCTGATGAAGTCTGGTGTATGGACATTGAATTTTTTCTCATGGGAGAATCCATGGGTGTAATCTGGGCTCCTTTTCAACCTATTGCTTAGGAATTTTGCTTCTGAGGGGTTTTGTGCATGTGTATGCATGTGTGCGCACGCACACACGCACATACACATGCACGCAAATATGTGCTTTCTAAAGTTTAGTTTTTGGCTCAAGTAGAGGTGGCTGAGAGTCGGCTTGAATGAATTCTGATTGACTAGGACAAGCTCAGTTGTCAGAGGAATTTTGTACTTTCATCTCCCTCCCTAAGTTAAATTTGGAAAAGATAGAAGCTCATTTGATGAAGCAAAGGAGAAGGCAGCAGACTTCCTTTTACTCTGATGGTTGTCAAGGGGAGATTCAGGAAGAAGAGCATCTCCATTTACTGGAGCTTTGAACCTAACAGAAGTGAATCTCTTTCAAGAGACCAGTGCCCCTTCCGGGGAGGCTGGAGAGGCTCTGCAGCCCTCACTGCCCATCACCTCCTGATAGAACCAGAATAGCTTTTCTTTCTCATGCCGGATGGAGAACCCGATTTGGCCAAAGGCGTGCCAGGGTCCAGACGAACCTGTGGTCATGTCTTCTCAATGACATTCTCCAACATTTAAGAGAGGAACTAAAGTTTTCGTGCCTTCTAAAACTAGTTATTGATGAAAATATACTTACAAGAAGCTTTTCATTTCAGGAAGAATTCTTATTAAATTTTTCATTCTCTGCCCTTGAAAACAGAATCCATACTCTTATCCTTAAAAGGATTTACTTTTAACTAACCTGAATGGGCTGAAATCTATTAAAACAAACAAACAAACAAACAACAAAATCCAACCAAGGAACTTCCTTTCTTTTGATAATATGCATACGGCCAAAGTTATTATGTTTATCTTAAACATTTATTGTTTTCTTCCATTAATATGAACGGAAAGAAATTGAAAATCACCCTCAATTTAATGACATTCCTTTTTACATTTTAAGACTTTTTTTTTAAAGATTTATTTATTTATGCATACAAGAGCTGGGGTACAGGCCAGAGGTGTGGTGAGGGGGTGAGAGGATTCACCAGAGACAGAGTGGGGAACAGAACAGGCAGATTGACCAAAATACACTGCTGAGGGGAGCAGCGGGTGAGCCAGGAGAGGTCTGCTGCACCATGTGGACTGCTCCTTGGCTGGGATTGTGTCTTATCCCCTTGCACCACCAGGGTTGCTCTTAAGACTGTTTGTTATCAAGGTTCTTTTCAATCATTCCTTCAGGTCTAAGAAACCTAGTTTCTTATCATCTACATTTATAAACATGCTGTCTAAATTTTTAATGGTCTTTCACATTTCTTCTTAGACCTATATTCATATCCAACATCTCTGTTTGGAGCTTGATCTGAATATAATGCATTTGGGAAAAATGAACATGATGAAATCTTTACTAAAGTATTCAAAATATGAAAAAAACACAATTATATTTGTATAGTTATTTTCTGACTTAGCCTTGCCACCCTGCATTCCTTTTTTAGTTTATAATAATGGCTATAATTTAACAAAGTTATTTTTAATACTGATTCCTTTTACAGCATCTAGAATAATCAAACAACAATTTCAAGCTTATTCAAATAAAGGAAAATACATTAAATAATATTATTGTGAAAAATGACTGCTGTGTAGTTTCCTCTCTTTATTTGGAATAGTTTCTTGTTCTTTCCAAGTCAAATTTCACAGTAAAATATGAGTCAGTGTATGCAATATTCCAAAAAAGTTTTTATTATATATGGCAAATCCGAACAATATGTGGGCTTCTACACTGCTGTGTCAAGTTTGTGAAATGAAACCTATTAAAAGGTGTCGTAGGGCCTCCCTGGTGGACAAGGGGTTAAGCACAACACTGTGAAGCTATCTGCAGCCTCTGCAACACGAGTTCGATCCCTGGCCAACCAGAGAGCTACCCACATGGCGCAGCAGACCTCTCCTATATCTCCCGCTGCTCCTCTCAGCAGTGTATTTTTAGTCAGTCTGCCTGTTCTGTTCCCCACTCTCTCTGGTGAATCTTCTCACCCCTGCACCTCTGGCCTGTATCCCAGTTATTCTTGTATGCATAAATAAATAAATGTTTAAAAAATGAAAGGTGTCATAATTGCTTAGTGATGTCCACCCTGGATGTCCATCAGGTAATGTGGATATTCATGAAGAAAAGAATTGATTTTATTTTTCTCACCATTTTACTCAAATATATTTTATATGTTTGGGGTTAGGGATATAACTAAATATGCATTTTATGCATTTAAGAAAAAAATGCTTAAACCTTTTTAAAATGTAGGTGGTAATTTATTGTGGGATAGTCTCTTAACAAATATATTTCCTTGGAAATTTGAGTTAATTTTTAATTTCACAATAAGTAATACCGAAGTCTTAGTTGATGGATTAGTCACCTATTGCTGCATAACTTCACAACAGACTTAATGGCTTAAAATAATGTAGATTCATTATTTCATAACTTCTGAGCATCAGTTGTCTAGTTATTGCTTAGTTGGGTCCTCTGGGCCCCCTTCTAGCATGAACTTGATAAGCAAAAAGATAAAGTTTAACATAAAGTATCTTTGATTGCCTAGTTAGAGCATTCTGACTCAGCCAAATTCTCACTGACATACCAATTGCTTTGTGTGGGCTTACTAGTTTTAGAGCTAAAGAAGTTCTGAATCTATCATCTGACAGCAAGGACAAATGGTATATAGAATGCTGAATTAAAAAGCTGGTAAATGAGACTGCGGCAGATTATTTTATTTGTTTAGGTTTCTTGAAGTTGGTCACTAAGATGGCAGTGAGGTCTGATCTCATCTAGGGTTTGACTAAGAAGGAGACAAAACTTGTTTGTGTGATTGTTGGCAACATTCAACTGCTTATGCTTGCCTCAGTTTCTTCCTTCCTGCTGATCAGAGACTGACCTAAGCAGCTTTCTAAGTGGTCTTCTCCATAGGGAAGCTCGTAACATAGTAGCTTATTTCTTCAAAGTCACCAGAAGAGTTTCTTATTACCCTATGAGCACTGCAATCTTGTGTAAGATAATCAAGCCCCTGCAATCACATATCCCGTCACCTTGGGCATATTCTATAGGTAGAAGAAGGTTATAGGTTCTACCTGTTCTCCAGGGGAGTGGACTGACTATTCAAATGTCTGACTACTACAATGTGGAAGCCATAGGGACCATTGTAGAGTGTGTATGCCTCAGGTGGAAGGCATACATTATCCAGGGAACATTTTTGCTCTGAGAAAATATTCTCAAGCAACTTGAAGATAGTCTGAATCATCGGTAGTATCTGCTGTATTCCTTATAGTGAGAGGGGGAAAATGTGAAAGGAAATATGCAACTGAGTGATTATGTCACTCTTCTGTGGGATGGATGTGTGTGTGTGTGTATTATTCTATTATTTCTTATTGAGGTAATGTTGGTTTATAACACTGTTTATGATTTAGGGATATTTGTATATTTTTTTTCTTATGGGTACAAGATTATACCTTTTCAGATGTGTGTTACCACACCACACCTACCACCAAAGCACCCACAATACTTCAACATAGTAGGCTCCCTCCCCATGTTCAGCCCTACTCCTCACCCTCCCTCTCTCAGAGCCTCAATTCTACACTCACATTTCTAGAGTTTGTATGGATTATGTCATTCTTAAATGAGTAATAGAAAAATCAGATGCAGGTAACATCGTGAGAAAATCTGTATTACAAAATAACCAGACAAGGACAGCAGTTGAAATCACCAAAATATCAAAATATATTTAAGGAGGATGAATCAATAAAAAAATTAAAAATCCTGGCAATCTAAGTACTCTGCATGAGAGATAAAGCTGTTTCTTTCTTTAAAAAAGTAAACAACTTAAGCATCCAACTGCTGAATTTGTAAGCCCAAATTTTAGCCACAATAAAAACCAGTTTTTCTTTTCTTTAGCATGTAACTGATTATCGAAAGAAACACCAAAGGTAATATATATTTACCCATATTTTCACCATCTCCCTGAACTCCATGGAAAGCTAGGAGATTTTCCTATGTGGCATGATAAAATCCCAGGTGCCTAAAAGCATGCTGGACATCAGAGATGCTTAATATATACTTGGGAATCATTTCCAATGATTTTCATGGTTCTTAGTTCCTTCTCTGACCTAGTGTTTAAGATATAAGCCAAAATATTCTTTCTCTAATTTAGGTCTCTGGAAGTTTTTCTGGGGCAAACCACTCTTAAGTTTTATATAAGCTGTTTTAGATGCAAAGTAGAGTACAGGAGAAAGCACAACGAACATTTGGTGCATTCTCAAGGGAACAGGGCTAATATTTAAGGTAGCCTCATGAAAAAATATGACCCGAGAACATAAGAGCACAGCTCAAAATTCAGCTGCAGCACACCTGGTAGAATGATGGGTAACCAGGGGCTGTGTTTTGTCCCTGAAGCCCTGAGTCATGTGCCTGATTGAAGAATAAATTGCTAAAGTAAAACAAGTCAGAAAAGAGGAAAATATTTACACCTTGTTTTAAAAAACAATAATAACTGTAGTCATGTAATTTTCTTCATAGTACTTGAGACATTGAGGGATCACATTAAATACATTGAAATTTAAAATATCTCTGACCCATTTTTGGATATAGGCTCTAGTTGGAGACTGACCTTAAAAAAAAAAAAAGAATTTGTCTTCTTTTTTATTGTTTTAAGAATAAACTGTGAGCTCTTGATGGTCTCAGAGATATTCTAGTCCTTACTCCATGATGACCCACTTAAAGAGCTAGGGAGAATTTTCTTTATCTAAGAACTTAAAGTCGAAATTCTGATTTTGACTTTACTATTTTCAAAATCTGCTTAAGCCTCTGATGAAGTCTGTGTTAGTAGGGACATCTGAGACTGTTGAATACCAAGGTCTGATTTCTGTGCATGTGGTCACACCGTGGACTTTTGCTGACCTCCTTTGGCCTTTTTTTCTGGGAAAGTGGGTTGTTGGGGAGTCCATGTGGTCCTTTCAGTGGCTGCATTCCCCAGTACAGCATTCTTTCAGTCAGTGGTTCTTATGGGGGTAGAAAAGGCCTGCATAAATTACATCACATAATAATTAAAAAAATAGAACAAATTGATTAGGAAAAACACTAAATCTAATAATCAGCTTTAAAAAGAAAATTCACTTAAAAGTTTTATTTTTCATCCTGCCACTTTTGGCTTAATTTTTATACCTGAATTCTGCATATTCAGTAAGAGTTCTTTTACCTTATGAAAACCTTAATCTGTTTGATCATGATAAATTTAGTTTGATGCCATGATGTAATAAAAACCATAATTGAAATAACAATCCATTAACCTTGATGTGTCTCCTATAATCTTTTATAGTATCATTTTCCTCTCATAAAGGTAAGATATTACTAATTAAAACATATCTTCATTTTTAAAGTTCCAAAATTAATTTAAAACAGAAGACTCCATAAAATAGTTTCTGCTTATTAGTATAAAACTTATGATAACAGATTGCTTTTCTGTGACTTTCCTCCAATTTTTCTTTAGTGTCAGATTTGTGTAGCCAATTTTGGTGAATTTATGAGAAATTCATTATCTATCTATTTATACTATGAAAGTTAAATATTGTGTAATTGAGTATTATTTATATATATATTCTGTATTGACATATCACAATAATACTATTTTTTATGCCTAGTGTTTTAGGAATCTCCAGATAGTATAGTTTTAATTTTAAATTCATACTGCACTCTAGTGGGGAATGTGATCAATGCAAAATTGTTCCTTTGTTGTTAAGAACAAAGTTATAGCAGCAGTTATGAACTATTTACAATTTTAAAAGTAAAATATCGAACAGTGTTGTTATGTATAATTTCTCAAAGGCGAAATGCTGTAAATGTAGTTTTTGTCTCATATTATATATTCAATATATGAACATATGTTTAATATGTTATCATCACAGAAAAATATGATTTCTTTCTAACCCCATCTTGAAAATAGAGGAAAATTCAATACTGGGATAGTTCATTTGATTTATTATAGCATATTTGGTGTGTGTGTGTGTATCGCACCATATAAATCCTAATATGAGGAAATGAATGAAAGTTAATCTCTCATTATTTTCTACCAAGAAGAAAAAGAATGGCAAACTTTCATAAATTTTTGAATGAAGATCAGTTTTTAAAACACTTGCTTGTAATATTTTATTTTTATCTTAATTTTATAAAGCATCTTTATTCAAACCTTTGACATTTCTGCCATTATTAGAGCCACATTTCAAACATCTAATAGTTTTTTCATTTATTTCTAAGGTATTTCAAATTAAATAGGTGCTTGTAAAATCCGTATGTGATATTATCTCTGGAAATACTGTTCTAAGTAACCAGTATTTAATCACATAATGGCATTATGGTATTTTTAACATAAAAATAGCACATTAATGCTTATTCATGCTCTTCACAAACTTTTATTAACTTTTAAGATGACTGCTGCAAGTTTTCTTCAAAATGACATATCTGCATCTAAAATCCACATAAATAACAAGTAATCATAGTTATGTTATCAACCTTCATTTTTTTGAACCAGTGAAGAAAAATTTCATATGAGCTACAAATACTATATGAATTTTTTGTAGGTTGTTCATAATGCAACTTCCCTTTAGTGGAATGGTCAAGATTCATATGTCTTTTCCAGAAAGGACTATTTTTTTTTTAAATAAGAAAAAAATGGAGAAAGTTCTTAATAATAAACTATAATATATAAGGAATTAAATATCAGTATATGCCACCTTTCAAAGACATAATTTTGGAAAACAAAATTTATTTCATATTTGTGTAAAATTTAGAATTTTACTTTTATTTTCTCAAAAAAAAAATCACCATGCTTTTTCATATAATTTTTCTTTGGATGAAAAATGACTGGTAGATATACAGTCAGACACAGATTTCTATACAGATTTTTAGTGTTTAGTTTCAGTTTGGCCACTATATATGGAAGCAAGTCTATGCTAAATGTGTTATACACATCTAAATCCCTAAGATTCTCCTTAAAAAAAAAAAAAAAAAACTACAGCAAGAGAAGTCATTGAGAAAACAGGATTATAGTTTAGTTTTCTTGTGCCATTTACAGTTGTATGTGTAAAACCCTTTAAAATTACGGTTTATTGTCTTCTAACCTACCTATTAGCACATGTCATCTACTGTCATTTCATTGTAATTTCAAACTATTGTAGAATGGAATTTTTAGGGATTTTAGGGGTTTGTCATTTTGACAGGGTAGCAGATCTAAAAAAGGGATAAAACCATTCATGGGCAAAACAATGGAAACTAGCTGGTTAACACTGAAATTAGATGTAGGGAAAGTTTTCCACTCAGTGGAATCAGATTTGTTGGTTATCTAAAGTATACTCCTATAGAGACTTATTTTTTTTCAAAATGTCTATTTGGGGCCTCCCTGGTGGCACAGGTGGCTGAGTGCAGCACTGTGAAGCTGTCTGCAGCCTCTGCAGTATGCCGGTTAGATCCTTGCCAGAGCAACCCAATTGGCAAGAAGAACTCTCCTGTCTCACCGCTGCTCCCCTCAGCAGTGTATTTCAGTCAGTCTGCCTGTTCTGTTCCCCAATCCGAATCTGGTGAATCCTCTAACCCTCCTGCGCATCTGGCCTGTACCCTGGCTCTTGTATAAATAAAATAAAATCTTTTTTTAAAAAAAGGTCTACTCATTCTTTCGACAGGGTTAAATACTAAATAGAACCTGAAGTTTATAAATCCTTAATTTTATGGAGATTGGTTTGATGACACAGTGTGTGTGTGTATGTGTGTGTGTGAGAGAGAGAAAATAACTCATCCCTCATCATGATTGGAACCAGTCCTAAATAGACATAAGATCTCAGCTGAGCTATGTTATATTGTCTTTGTTAGTGTGTTGGTAGGTTATTTAGTAGGCAAAGTTGAATTAGCGAAAATGGCATGACTCAGTACCATTGTCCTTATTGGATTTCTCACCCTTTCCTTTCTGAACTGAATTTATGTCCACAGTTACAGGTAGGGTAGCTGAAGAATTCTGGGCCTGCTCTTCAGGGAAGTTAAGCGTTTACACTTTAAATTTATATATGGCAGCTGAGAAGAGACTGTAGCTTTAGACTTATTTGATATATAGAATCTAGATGGTTTGACACATGTGAAGCAATGATCCTTTCCATTATACTCCCAATCACCCCATTTTTTTTTCATGCTTTGGAGATGAATGAGCTAGGTATGAAGAAAAGAAGAGAAACTTCTTTATATTTTTTTCTCAGAGTAGACAAGTGCTAGAGAAATTTCTGTTTTAAGGGCCATGAAGAGAGACAAAATGGACTGCAGTGGACAAATATAACTAACCTTGTCTGTGAGTGTGGTGTGTGGTAACATACAACTAAAGAGGTGTGAACTCATATCTCTGAATTATATTCTGTGTTGTAAACTGTTACCTCAATAAAAAAGAAATGATAAACAATGAAGTAAATAAACAAACTTTTTGAAATTATTTTTTGATTTGCAGACGTGTTTCCAAGTGAATGGAATTCCCATACAACACACACACTCAGTTTTCTCTAATGGCCAATAGTACAATACATTATTATAATGAAACTCTATCCTCTGTTTGGATTTCATGAATTTTTCACTCAGTGTTCTTGGTCTATTCCAGGATCACATCCAAGACACCATATTTCATTTAGTCTTTATATTTCCTTTGGTTCTTCTGGGGTTGATAACTTCTCTGAGTTTCCTTGTTTTTCATGAACTTGGTATTTTTCAGGAATAATTGTCAGTATTTAATGGATGTCCTTTAGTTTGGGTTTGCCTAATGTTATTATCTGATTTGACTTGGGTTATAGGCTTTTGTGAAGAAACCGTGGAGGTAAAATGCCATTCTCAACACCTCACATCAAGGATGCATCTATCAGCAACTCTTAGATTGTTGTAAGCTTTGATTCTATAGCTGAGATAGTGTCAGGCTTATTCACTGTATAGTTACTTTTTCACTTCTTTCCACACTGTACTATTTGGAAGCAAGACACTAAGTATAGTCTACATTGAAGGGGTAGGGAGTTATGCTCCATCCATCCTTGAGAGGGGAGTATATTTAAATTATTTGGAATACTTCTATAAGGGACATTTCTATTGTCTTCATTACTTGTTTTAGAACAGTATATACTCATTGATATTTATTTAATACTTTAGGTTATAATCCAGTAAAATGTATGTTTTGAGTTTTGGTCATTGGACACTCTGTCGATTGGCTCCTGAATCTATTCTCCAACTTTTGGTTGTAAATCTGTTGTTCTGTGATTATAAGTCAATTTCAGGGTCCACCATGAGAGGGCCACCTGTTACCCTAGGAGTGAGGAGGGGAAATGATGATCAGTACTTTTCAGGTCAGTCTCTGTACCAATATTACTGATGTTTTAGTATAAGAAGTTATGTTTCAGCTTTTGTCTCAAAAAGCTCTCAAGTGGGTCAAATTAACATGATATTATTCAACTGCAAGAATCATGTTGCTCCCAGGAGAAATATTGTTTCCAGTTTTCTTTTCCTCAAATTGTGTCATATATTATTTTTTAAAAAATATTTATTTATTTATACAAGAATCAGGGTATAGGCCAGAGGTGTGGGAGGGTGAGAGGATTCACCAGAGACAGAGCAGGGAACAGAAAAGGCAGACTGATGAAATACACTGCTGAGGGGAGCAGTGGGCGAGACAGGAGAGGTCTGCTGCACCATATGGCATTCTCACTGGCTGGCTGGGATCGAACCTGTGCTGCAGAGGCTGCAGACAGCTTCACAATGCTGCGCTCAACCTCCTGCGCCACCAGGGAGGCCCCGTGTGTCACACATTATTTAATATAGATTACAAAGATGAATTCTCTAATGTATGCCACATTTTAATTA